CAGCCACCCCGCCCCCTGGTGGGCTGAGCTGGCCACACACACACACACACACATACACACACACACAAATAAATAAAATTAAAAAAAAAAATTTAAAAAAAAAAAAGAATCCACTGTCTACCTAAATGCTTTTCTTCTCCATATCTCACTCCCATTATCTCAGAATTTAGCCTATGCCTCAGCAGAATATATATACTAGCTTAGGTGAGAAATATTCAGATGTTCATCAGCATATATAAATGGATGATTTGCATATATCAAATACCTACATTGCTTTATTTACACTTTTTGGAAACAGGCCATATACGGAGAACCATCCAACATTTGACCTCTGACAAAGTCACATCAAGTTTGGAGAATCTGCAAAGCAGAGCTTCATATGGATGTGTCTCCACAAGCCCCCTGGGGATTATTAGGCTTATGGCACACATGAAAGAGCGAGCACAATTAATCACCTAGGGTTTTGGCATAACTTAATCAAGTACATAAAGTTCTTACAGAGGTTGACTCCATGCCTCCTACCTTGTAAACCTGCAGAAAGGGACAAGCCTAAGCCAAGAATACTTAACAACAACAAGGAAGTTTAGAGTCAAGATCTTGAGGTATTGAGAAAGTACCCTGAAGAGCTGAGTTTTGGTAGGTCAGAAAATAGAACAGAAAGAACAATGGTTGATTAAATTTCCATGACTACTCAGTTTGTACTGTACACTCATATTAATCAAATTTTAAACTGTTTTTCACTTAGAGATGAAAAACCACATCTATTAATCTTGCATAAAGAAAGCCTCTATAATCACTCATGGATAAATAAAGGCTGATTTTGTCCTGGGTTGAAGAGATACACCATTCATCCCTCCTAACCCCACTGCTTCTCTGAGTCTTTCTTATTCATTGCCCACTTCCCTCTCTCCTCAGACTGGTGTTCCCTCGAAGTTGAGACTAGACCTCAGCAGCCATACATATATTAAAGAGTAAGATACTCCTGTCACCCTTCTAGCTGATCTGTTTAAAAAATACAACCTTCATAAAGGCAAAATACTGGAAGACAATTTATCTTCTCATTTAGGGACATTTTCCAAATAGAAATTTTCTTACAAGAAAGTGATTTATATTTATTTCAATATTCTATTACTTCCTTCTTACTCCTTAAGCATTCAATTTTATGACACAACAAAATATATAGGACTTACCTATCCAATATGGGAATTAATAAACTCCTAAATATGGCAATTTTTTTCTGTTTTGATTAATGAGGCAAAACCCACTATGTAGTTCAGGCTAGCCTTGAATTCACTATGTGGCCCAGCCTGGTCTCAAACTTGTGGTGATCCTCCTGCCTCAGCCTCCCAAGAGCTGGGATTACTGAGGTGCACTACCATGGCCAGCTGAAATGGCAATTTTCAATCCTAGTTATTAATTATAATTTTAGACTAGATCTAAGCTGTCATAATGTCTGGCACGCAGCACATTGCCTGCCAAACAGCAGGCACATGAACAGTTGTTAAATATATTTGTCAAAATGTATCTGATACTGGTTTCCATTTAGTCATCTACAGGTAATCTGATTTTATTTTATATCTCTGCTACTAACTATTGTGTGGTACAAAAGACTCTTAATAAATGCTTAATGAACACATACCTTTGTTTGGCATATAAGTAACTACACACTGACTGGTTACCATACATAAAAGTACAGCTGTGTAAAGGGAGGGAACAGTAACTGAAAATTAGTAACTGCAATTCAAGTATAGTCATACTGGCCAACTCAAGAAATTATCAAATTTATGAAAATAATTGTGCTCAATGAGATCTGAGAACTTGAGAGGTATTTAGTTTTAGGTTAATTATGAAAACATTTTTTAAAAGCTGTACTCTTGATGAAACAATCACTAGGGAAAAAATTATGTATATCAATAACCCAAATGTATTGTTGTAAGTCTAAGTTACAGATAGGCTGATTCTTCAAGTGAAAAAAATGTAAAATTATCCATATATACTGGAATTAAAATCTTACCAATACATTTTTGGACTCTCTGTACTTCTTCACAATTTTTGCTTCTTTAAAACTGAGAGTATGATTTCTAGCTTCACGATTAAGAAGTTTCTGTACTCTGGGTGTCAATTTGGCCTTGGGTTTGAGGCGCACTCGAGAGTTATCTAGTACTAACAACTGGAAACAATATGGACATGCTTCTTCAAAAGTGCTCTTGTCATCTAAAATTATAGAAATAAAATAAATTATTATGTAAAATACTGTAATTCAATCCACTCACTTCTTACAGCAGCCGAGAAGCAAGACTCTAACTTTTGCTACCTGGTCTATTTCTTGCTACTGTATAAAAGACAATTATGTCTTACCAGTTTTAGGAACATACTTTCCACAAATAAAACAGACTGCACTGTAATTTTTTTAAGCAAATAACACAATCAGTATTTATTAAGTGCCTACTGTTCAGTGCTGTGTTTAGTCCTATACTCAACAGCACTACAAAAGAGCAAAGACCATGCTTATAACAGCCATGAACAAAGGGCAATTCCTAGAGACAGACAATATATA